CTCTTGGCCAGTGAGCTCAAATTCCTCCCAGCTCTAGGCAGACATTGCCCCTTCCCCAAGTGTCTGAATTCCCACATGGGAAACTATAGGCACCAAAGGCCCCCTTTCTTAATCCTGGGCCCAGAGTGTGGTGTCCCACAAGGCTTTGGGTTGCTAGGTAGGTTGGTCCTACCCACTTTTGTTTTCATGAGACTGTCTTGCTGTATACCCCAGGCTATCCTCAAACTTACGGTCCTCTATTAGAGGTGTGAAACAGGTGGGTCAGGAGGAGTTGAATGTGTGTGGGGATAGTGTTGTGGGGCCAAGAGGAGAGGGCAGAATTGGAGCACAAGAGCTGTTCTAGCCACTGGCTGTCCATGTCAAGCCTGGCAGGAACTAGGACACCCCCTGGAGCCACGAAGTTATGGACAGCTTTAAGGTTAGGGTCCCTTGGGTTCCAGGCCACAAGACTCTGAACCAGGAGGCCTCCCATCCTGGCCCACAGGCTCAGCGCGTTTGGCTGACTTGGGGGAGGATCCGCTTCTCAGGCCCGTTTTCTTCTACAGGATCTTCTCTGCCTATATCAAGGAGGTGGAGGAGCGGCCAGCCCCTACACCGTGGGGCTCCAAGATGCCCTTTGGGGAGCTGATGTTCGAGTCGAGCAGCAGTTGTGGCTGGGTGCATGGAGTCTGCTTCTCGGCCAGTGGGAGCCGAGTGGCTTGGGTCAGCCACGACAGCACAGTGTGCCTGGTGGACGCTGACAAGAAGATGGCGTGAGTTTGGGAACAGGCTGTGGGGCGGGCGGCTACAACTGAAGCCCAGAGCAGGAGCGGGCGACAGCATGGCTGACGCACTTTCTCTTTCAGCGTTGCAACCCTGGCCTCTGAAACCTTGCCACTCCTGGCCATCACCTTCATCACAGAAAACAGTCTAGTGGCAGCGGTAAGTGGCCTTTGGGGATGCAAAGGCAGGGGCCAGTACGTAGTCTTTTCACTCAGCCCTTCCTCCCTCCTCCTGCTTTTTTTTTTTGGTTTTTGAGACAGGGTTTTTCTGTGTAGTTTTAGTGCCTGTCCTGGATCTCCCTCTGTAGACTAGGCTGGCCTTGAACTCAGAGATCCGCCTGGTTCTGCCTCCCAAGTGCTGGGATTAAAGGCGTGCGCCACCACTGCCCAGCTCCTCTCCTGCTTTTTGTTGTGCTTTTATGCATAACAGTTTGGGTATGCTGTAGTAACAAAATTTCCCAGCTGTGTATGGCACGACACAGGGTATTTTTGACAGGGTCTCACTGTGTGGCCTAGGCTAGTCTTCCCTTTTCCCTCTGAGTTCTCCTTTAATTCATTCTGTAACCCAGGCCAACCTCCAATTTATAATCCTCCTGCCTCAGCTTCTTGAATACCTGGGATTACACACGTTTTTGCTTGCACGTCTATCCAGTGTAGGTGTTGTGGGGGAGGGGACTCTGGGGAGGCTTCATTTCCAGTGCTTCCCCAGCTGTCTTGAGTGTAGAAGAGTCGTTCTAGAATTGTGCCCTAACATCTTTGCTTACAATGACCAGTGCAGATGACAAGGCCATACCTAACTGAGGCCTGTGAAGTCACTCTGGGGGTAAAAGCACTTGCTGTTCACCCTGATGACTCTGAGTTCAATTCCTGGGTCCCACATGGTGAAAGGAGAGAGCCAACTCTCACAGGTTGCCCTCTGACCTCAACATGCACCCATGGCACCTGCCCATGCACACACATGCACACCCACCAGATTTTTTAGAGGCAGGCCTGTGGGAATGGACTCAGAGTCACCCAGTGTCCCAAAAAAGCTACTGTCTCGTCTATCCACTATTCCATTAATATGGCGGCTTATTTTCTCCCTGACGGATCACCCAGCTGGGATGGAGGTCTGCTCGAGGAAAGGGTCCCAGACACATATCAAGTAGATGCTGGCCTTGCATGGTGGGGGGGAGGGCAGCCTTCTTATCTGTGCCTACTTGATACCTCTGAGGCTGAAGTCCCTCTCTCTGGGTCCTGGTGTATCCCCCTGCTGGGGCATCTGTCTCCTGATAGCCCTCAGTAGCTGCCAGATGCCCTCATCTCCAGTCTCACCTCAAGCCTCAGTTTCCATTTTAGAGTCCCTACCTCAGATGATGCTTCAGTGTCCCTCCTGTCCCTCCTCAGGGCCACGACTGCTTCCCCGTGCTGTTTACCTATGACAGTTCTGCGGGGACATTGAGCTTTGGTGGTCGGCTGGATGTGCCCAAGCAGAGCTCCCAGCGTGGCCTGACAGCCCGAGAACGCTTCCAGAACCTCGACAAGAAGGCCAGCTCTGAGGGTGGTGCAGCCACAGGCGCCGGCCTAGACTCACTGCACAAGAACAGTGTCAGGTGCTTCTGCAAACAACCAAGACCCACTTCAGAGGGCTGGGGTGGGAGCCGAGGGAGGGGCGTGAAATGGCATGGTGCTAGAGGGGGACTAGAGGAAGCAGGCCGACTTCCAGGCCATACTCAAATAGTAGGAACTTAGCAGTCAGCCTGGACTGGGGCATGCCTAAGGCATGGCGGGGCCTCTAGGATGCAGGAGAGTGACTGGTGGGCTTCTTGGGAGTGGGTCTCTTGCTAGATTCAAGTGTGGGAGACCCTCCAAAACCCCAATGCTACCAGCCACAGGGGTCCACCCTGAAACATACTAGGAAGCAGGCATTCTGCCTTGGGAGGTCTTTAAGCCAACATCCAAGCTAGCTTCCAAGGTTGTTCACTACCAGGCACAGTATCCTCCCTTACCCATTTCTAGCCCTCCCCTCACCACCCCCCTCCAGCTCAGCACACTAGTGGCACTCTGCATTCCCCATACACTCAGGCCTGTCCTTGCCTAGGCTTCAAGGGTCTTGTTCTCTGGCCAGGACTGTTTCCCTCACCTGACACACTGTTCCTCCAAGCCTTGTTCCCTGGCTGGTCCTACCTCATCTTGGTATTTTTCATGGGAATGGGTCTGGGAGCTCATGGCCAGCAAGCTTGGCCTCTAAACCCAATCTCCTTACAGTCAAATCTCGGTGCTCAGCGGGGGCAAGGCCAAGTGCTCGCAGTTCTGCACTACAGGCATGGATGGTGGCATGAGCATCTGGGATGTGAAGGTGAAGCTGCCCCCGCAACCTCCCCCCCCCCCTTTTCTTAGCTGCCCTGGGGCCTGGGATGGGGATCATCTCCTGACCTTTGGGTGTGCATGCCTTTCTGTTGGGATTCAAACTCCGCCCTCTTTTGTGCTGGGGCTGAGATGGGTGTGGGGTGTCTACAGGACAGCGGAGAACCAGCCTGTCCATTCTCTACTTGCAGAGCTTGGAGTCAGCCTTGAAGGACCTGAAGATCAAATGAGCTGTGGAGTGCCACCCTCACCCAGATGCTGGGAAAGAGGGAAGGGCGCTGGGGAGGCCAAGGGCTGCTTTGCTGAATGCTTCTAGGGTGCAAGTAAGGGGCTGCTCCCCAAGAAGGGAGGAGACAGGTGGGAACTTTCCTACCTATTTAAAGAATATGTGCCTTTTAAAGAAATGCTTTCACTTACTGCTTAAAAAAGAAAGAAAGATGAAAAAGCCCCTAAGCACAATGCTGGTCATGAATCGCTTCAGAAAATGGGGTAATAAATGCCATCTGCGGACAGGCCTGCCTGTGTCTCAGAGAAGCTAGTTGCTGTGTGGGCTGCTGGAAACAAAACTGACCTTCAGTACAGGGGACCTTCTCTTCCAACTATGATTAAGTGGTGTGATTCCAACACAAACGGGGTACACACTGCTCTGGACCATGGTGGAAATCTCTCATTTCTCACTCTGATGTGGGCAGCTGAATTCTGGTAAATGTTCATTGGTTTTTGTACAATCCCCTATTTCTATTTTAGCCTACGGCCTTTTGTCACATGTTTTGGGTTACCTTTTTTACACAGCATCTGAGCTGACAAAATTCCATCAAGGATGAAAACCATCCTTCTGTAAGACAAATCACTCTAGCAGATGGCACCAAGGCACACAAGCTTCTATTACTCAGCCCAGGTCTCAGTTTCTGTGACAGTCAGGCCTTCAGATGTGTAAAAGGACCCCAACAATCCCCAATCACACTCTCCCTCCAACCCAAGCAGTACACTTTGGTTTGGTGCTGGGGGCCTCAAGCAGGAACCCTGACACTCATCCCCAAATGTTATAAACATTTTTTTTTTTCTTTTTGAGACAGGGTTTCTCTGTGTAACCCTGGCTGTCCTGGATCTCACTCTGTAGACCAGGCTGGTCTTTCAGCTCAAGAGATAAACTACCTTTTTACTACTCAGTCCTAGAACCAGCAAGAAGGCATTGTTAAATAGCTACCACCTTCTTCCACCCTGAAGGAGACTTCATTTGGGAGCCAATCTTGAATCTGGGCAGCTGTAGGATCCCTCCAGAGACCATCAATTGGGGTCAGGCCCAAGGGCACGTGGTAAAGGTCACTAGGAAATAGACTGGGTGTCATCTCTGCCATCACACTGCTTGATCCTCTGGCAACCATACCACCCCTCCTTGTGCCCCAACACATCCACCGACCCCCCAAGCTCTTTGATCTCTGGGGATGCACAAAGGACAATGCCACTCAGGTGAAGCATCCCCTCTCAGCTCAGATGGGGCCAGGACAGAACCCTTTCACTGGTCCTGAACACACAAGTAACTCACTGGCTGTGCTAGGTCTGCTTCTTCAACTGCCACAATGCTAAGGATTGAGTGGAGAGCTCAGACTGGTGAGCGCTGGCCATTACCTTTTAGAGACTTCTAGCAGAGGATTAGGATATGACAAGCAGGCAGCACCTGGAGGCCCACAGGGGAAGCTCAGTATTGCTCGGGTCTTCTGTAGGTTGAGTACTAGCCCTAAGTCTCACTCTACTGATACTGACATCTAGGCTCTGCATCTTGCTTTGTGTAAAAGCCTGATAGTGTTTTCCCAGGTAGGCGTGTGCCCTGCTGGTACCTGCCATGAACAAAATTAGGGTATAGCAGCCAGAAGATGAATTGCCAAACAAGGATTACGATAATGTTGTTTAATCTGCCAAATATACAAGTTGAATTTGAGGAGCATGTCTTGTCTGGGTGATGCACAGTAACCAGAGGTTTCTTGAAATGATCAATGGGTAGGGTTAAAAATGGCCACTAGCCCTGACCAGGTGGGTGGGAAGGGGGCAGAGCAGGTCAGAGAGGAGAGGCCTCATTGGACGGAACTGGCCAGGCACAAACCTTGGACCCTTAGGGGCACAGGCTTCCTGACAGCCCCTCTGAGTGAGCACCCAGACAACGATCTGGGCTGGTTGTCATCAACTCCCACATCAGCTGCCTACTGGCACTATCCCCCCACCCCCAACGTGCAATCTACTGGACAAATGGAATCTCTTTACCCCACTTCCCAGGCAGCCCCCAACCAGGGTTCCAAATTCTAAAAACAGCAAAAACATTCAAATGGTTATGTATGAAATGCTGTCCTGCATCTTTCTGTCTCAAAGATAGCAGCTGCCCCTCCCCCCAGCCCCCCCACACCCCCTGAATGATTTCTGTGCCAAGATGAAGAGGAGGCCCCAGGCCATAGGGGCTCCTGGCCATGAGGGGCTGCTGCAGCGGCGCCAGGGCACAGGGTGGGTGAGACACGGCAGAGGTCCTGGAGGCATGGCCCAGTTCCTCGGCATCTCCTCCCACAGGCCAGCTTACTTATTCAGGGAGAGTGACTGCATTCGTTTTCCTGACAAAGTTGCGTCATCTTTTGCTGAGGGGTTGGAAGGGAAGGGTGGGGGTTAGAACACAGCAAAAACACCTCCCACATCCCTCTGAATCACAGGACTTCAGGACCAAGGCTTTAGAAAAAACATTTTGTGCAAACGGGCTCAGCTAATAGATAGGAAGAAAGCCATGAAGGATCCAGACTGCCACTCAAGGGAGAGAATTTCTGCTGAGGTCACAAGGCCCAGGTCTCCAGATGTTCCCACTATGCTTGAGTGACTGTCACCACCGTGTCAAAAGCTACTTGTCCATTCAGGCCCAGCAACACAGTTTGGTGGCTACCGGGAACTTGTGGCGTCCCTGGTAGAACTCTGCAATTCTAACCTCTCTCTGTACTCTGAAGTCTAATGTCTCAAGTCAGCAACAATACCTACACACATCAAGTCCTTTCTTGCTCAGAGTATGGGAAGCCGAACTCTTAGTTCGGATAACTAAGCTCAGGAAAGGGATAGATGCCCCAGTGAGTTCTCAGTTTCCTCCTATTTCAGTAAATAGGAAAGTGAGCTGAGGGCTCTCACAGCCACCCATGCCCTTTTCCCATGGAAGGTCTCAAGTAAAGTGCTCTACACTAGACACCCCCAGGCCTGTGAGAACCTGGATCTCCTTTAGATGCCCAGAGGGAGGGTGAGGAGTGGACACGGATATGATGTCCGGCATCTTTTATATACAGTTCTACCATCTCAAGCCCCTGGAAGGGTGGTACAACTCCAGGTGCAGCCCCTTCCACAGACCTGACCCTCAAAGGCCTCCTGTTGCTGGACACAGTAGCTATTAGATAGTGCTCTACTGATCCTAACCCTCACCTACTACTCCATGACAGTGGGCAAGAGCGTCTGTCTCCCCGGCGATGGCAAGGCTTTACTGGCTGACATGGGTGATGAGGCAGCTGCCCTTCCTCAGCCCCTCCCACCTCACAGATGGGCTTCCGGTACCTAACTGTACCTGGGCCTGTAGCAGACCTACCTTTCCTCTCCTCTTCCTTCTTTCTTGCTGCCTCCTCCCGCTGTTTCCGGATGATTGCCAGCCGGGCAAGATCAGCCTTGGCCTGCTCTGTCTTCCCAGCCAAATGCATCTTCATGTAGCGCTCTTTTGCTTTTTGCTTCTCGATTTCTTCTCTGTGTGGATAAAATGGTGTCACAGGGCTAGACATGGGAGTAAGTACCAAGTGTAAAGGGAAAAGACACTCCAGCTGAGTGGGAGGCGCTATTCCAAGTGTCTTTTAGTGGACACCCCTCAAACAAACAAGGAGAAGGAATGGTCCCAGGAGAGAAACCCCTGTGTGAACTTTGGCACAAGAGGGGACAGTGTCTGGTTGCAGGGACAAGGTTGCTGCCTGAAAACTTCACGTGGAACTCAAAACCAAGTGCACTGTGTTCCAGAGAAGATGATCATAATGAAGAAGGTACTGGGCAGGGAATGAAAGCCACAAGTGATGGGAAAGAGACACAACCTGACTTCAGTAGTTCACATGTACCTCCCAAACAGGTAAGCCCCTTCAGGTGGGGTGTTGAGAATAAATGCAGGATTCCATGGGAAAGGGTATGGCTAGCAATCACCTGTCTAAATAGAGAATAGGAAGGGCCATCAGTTTCCCTGTGTGATTCTGACTAGGAGGGCTGTCTAGGATGTGAGAGCAAAGGGCTCCATTTCCACTGAAACCTTGGAGGACCCAATGGCAAAGGAGCAAAGAGGCTTGCCTGGCAAGAGCAGTAGAGGGGCTTTCTGGAGGCCCTTCCCAGTCCACAAGGCTGGCAGTAATAGGAAGCAAAGCATGGGGGCCTGCTTCAAGAGGATGGATGAGAAACGCAGCCAGCAAGGGCTTGATGAGGAAATACTACACTCAGGGGACCACACAAGACACCTACTACTGAGGTGTGGAGATAGCACTGTTGGCCAGCAGATCCACCCTGATAGGGATGTGCTAGATAGACTGAGATGTCTCTTGGTTATTCAGGACTAACCAAGGCTGCTTCAAGGTTTTGTAGGACACCCTCAGTGAAGACCAAGTACTGGCAGGGTGTGGCTTTCATGATCATCATTGCTGCAGATGATCTCTGTTGGGCAGAATGGGACATTTTGACTTGAGACCCAAAGAGGACAGTGACATGGCTTCTCAGTGAAGTGGCAGAACCTTAGAGCCCTGCTATTCTGGGAAGGACAGCCCAGTCTGCTGAGTTTTGGGGGAAGTCAATCACAAGAAGGAAACTAATGGAGGGGTACAGACACAGCCCCAGTGACACCCAAACCCCTTCTTTGAAGCGTTTGGAGACCTGTTCTTTAGCCATCCTTGCACAAGGTGCCAGGCTGAACTCCTAGCAGCTTTCAGTCTCTTAAAAGGCCACGAGGGCACTCGGGAGGCAGAGCCAGGCGGATCTCTGTGAGTTCGAGGCCAGCCTGGGCTACCAAGTGAGTTCCAGGAAAGGCGCAAAGCTACACAGAAAAACCCTGTCTCGAAAAACCAAAAAAAAAAAAAAAAAAAAAAAAAAAAAAAAAAAGGCCACGAGGTCGTCTAGTCCCGTTAAGTCAATGAGGCTGTAGGTGTGGCTAGAAGATAGAGTGCCTGCTCTGGGGCCCTAGTCTGTGTGCTTAGGTTGCAGGTTCACCCAGCAGATATTACCGTTCTCTCCTTGAAAGTTCCTTTGGCCCATCCAGATCCAGTTGTGTGACCTTTTTGGTTGTCTGTGCCACCCGGTTGGGGTTCTCAATGTCAATGAGCCCTTCCACGCCTTTTCGCTTTTGCTAGGATAGAGCAGGAATGTTAGAGGTTAGGTCTTGGGGTGCCTCAGGAGGCCAGCCCACCACCTCCCAAGAGCCCATCAGGATGAGGACAGTACTTTGGAGTATCTTACCAGTCTGGGGAGGGCAAGAACCTGTGTCAGGCTCCAGCAAGACTGGCAGCTCAGGCTTCAGTAACTTGCCCATGATCAACAGAGAGCAGAACTGCCCCATTTCAATCTGTCTCCAGAAGCAGCTTCCCATAGAATCCTAAGACTGATTTCCCCTATAATGACCTCACGGCTCCTGGGGCAGGGTGAGCCATGGTGTTGCAATTCCCGCACACCTCAGCTTTGGGTGGGAAATATGACCCCAGGATGAAGGTGCTTCTTGGATGACAGGCTTCAGGAACTAAGTCATCCTATCTGATGAGACCCAAGAAGAAACGAAACAGTTTTACAGTAGGTTTGCTTAATCTCAAGCTTTGTTAAAACTAGTTTTTCTCCTCGAAGTGACCAGGAAAGAGCTTCCAAATGCTGATTATCTGAGCACTCCAGAGTTCCCTAGCCTACATCCAACTTCCCTCCTTCTATATCATGCCAACAACCATCCATGATAGCTTGGCTTGAGAACTGCTCTCACACAACCTGATCTCTCCTCCCTTCAGCATGTCCAAAGTACAGTTGGACTCCAAACACTCTTCTAATCCTGCTACTGGCAATCACTGAAGAGCAAGCCATGAGATGCTTTCTCCTGCATTCTATAATACCTTAGCCTCTGTTCCCTAGAAAAGCCAAAACCAGTGACCTTTAAAAAGTAAGCTGTAAGCTGGGGGGGGGGGGGGGGGGGCGGCGGCACACACCTTTAATTTCAGGATTTGGGAGGCAGAGGCAGGCAGATCTCTGGGAGTTCCAGGCCAGCCAGGAGTCTCAACTGTCTTAAACAAACAAAAAAGTAAACCTTGGGATGATAATAGGCTGGATGGGGTGAAGTTGCTTGCTACAAAGCCTACTGACTTGAGTTTGATCACCAGGACCCATGATTTCTGCAACTTGTCTGACCACACATGCACCATGGCATGCTTGTATAGTGATACTCCCCACGCCCCACCAAATAAATATAATTAGAAACATAAAATAAAAAGCAAACCTAGTTATTTCTCTCCTACTTTCAAGGCACCCACAGTTGTCCCTGCTCAGTCCCTGATGCAGTGAAGCCAACACACTTCTGTAACTATCGAGGCACCCTTGCCCACTAACTCATAGCCCCAACAGCCCCCAATTTTGCTCTTCAAACATGAAGAGCTTGTTCTCATCCCAGGGTCTTTGCAGTTGCTAGTCTGCTTGCCTCAACTGCTCTGCCTAGCATCTGTTATTCTTTTTTTTAAGCATGGCTGGCTCCATCCTTGACATAAGCCATCATCTTATTAGCACAATGCTATTCCAAGTATCCTCTATCAGACTGATTCATAGGATTTCTCACAATCTGAATTTGCACCGTCATTTTATTTTCACTGTTATGTTCCCATTAGATTAGGAGTCTTTAAGAACAAGAGCTTTTGATAATGTGTCTTCAAGAATTGAAGGTATGTGATGTCACTTTAACACACAGGCAGCAGAGGCAGGAGGACCAGCTCAAGGTCAGGACTAGTCATATAGCAAGTTTAAGGCCAAGTTAGGATACATGAGACCCCAACTCAAAAAAAAAAACCAAAAACAAAAAGAGGGCCAGTGATAGCGAGGCAGGTAAAGAACTTGCCTGGCGAGCCTGACATCTTAACTTTGATCCCTGGAACTCACATCAAAATGGATGGAGAGAACTGACTCCACAAAGCTGTTCTCTGACTTCATCTGCCAGCAGGGTATGTATCCACACTCCTCCAGTTAAAAAAACAAAACAAACTGGGCATGGTGGTACACGCTCATAAACCCAGCACTTTGGGAGGTGGCGATAGAATCGTCAGGGGTTCCTAGCCAGCTTAGGTTATGTGAGACCCTGCCGCATCTGCCCAGTGAAGGGGTTTGGCCTGCAGTCCCCAGACTCACCTGGTAGTCATCATCTTCATCCTCACTCTCATCTGAGTCTAGAGACTTCTTCTCCTTTTTGGGGTCACCCGAAGCGCCATCTCCACCTTCTTCTTGTTCATCTTCTTCCTGTTTCAGAAATGGACAACCTGCAGAATCAAAAATGCAAAACAGACCCCCAAGAATGTAACACCCATGACCACCCTCTGACTGTGGACCTTCACATTAAGCCCCTGAAAGGCTTGAGCCAAGTATGACAAGGGTCCTAACTCTGTGACCCCAGTCACTCAGCATGAGGGACCAGAGGCCAGTCCTCTAGCCGAGTGAAGCCTCTGATGAGGCCACAAAAGACACTGATCCCCTTCATAGCTACCTTGGTCAGCCCAGGGAGCAGCTGATCTCACAAGGTCAGAAAGAGTCAGGTGTGGAGCTGAAAACTGTGTGCCTGCTCAGTTGTACCTGCTACACGCAGCTGCCAAAGTGACTTTCCTGGTCATGCCTTCCTGGTTTTATGCTCCCATGGTCATGTCTGCCCACAAACTCTTTTTAGCACCAAATGCCCAATATCACACCTTGGCAGGCTACCTGCCTCTACTTTTCTGTCTCGAGTTTAAAAAAAAAAAAAAAAAAACCCACTGGGAAGAGCTGACATTATGGCTTATGCCTGTAATCTCAGCACACAAGAGACAGAGGCAGGAGGATTGCCAAGAGTGCAAAGCCAGCCTGGTCTACATAGCGAGATCCTGTCCCAAAAACCAAATTAATAAAGCCTTAATAAAAAACTTAAGTCCAGCCGGGCGGTGGTGGCGCACACCTTTAATCCCAGCACTCAGGAGGCAGAGGCAGGAGAATCTCTGTGAGTTCGAGGCCAGCCTGGTCTCCAAAGCGAGTTCCAGGAAAGGCGCAAAGCTACACAGAGAATCCCTGTCTCAAAAAACCAAAAAACAACAACAACAACAACAAAAACAAAACAAAACAAAAAAAACAAAAACTTAAGTTCATCCTCTCTTAACACCTACCTACACAGTCTGCAAGGTCCCATGTAAATACCAGGAACTCCACAAAGCCCTCCCAGATCCCCAGCTAGATATGGCCCCTCCCTTTCTCAGGGCCAGGGGAGGGGGGTGTCTAGGTGTGAAAATTCAGTGTTGCAGGGGATACAAATAACAGTGGACTAGACAGGGTACCCTGGGCCCAGAGGAACTACTAGTTCCGCTTGGACTGGAGGACAGGCACCACCAGTAAGAGCCACAGCAGAGGCGATGCTGGATAAAGCTACTAGCAATGAACAGGACACTGGGCTGTGGGAGGCAGGCAGTATGTGTGTAGAATCTGGCAGACAGCCCTCCCTGTGTGGCTCCGGGAGCCAGTGGGGAGGTACAGGAGATCAGAGCTGTAGATGGACAGTGGCTGGTAGAGGGAAAGCCTCTACAAGGCAGGCATATAGGACCAAGAGTGGAGACAACCAAGGCAACTGCTGCAAAGTGGGCAAAACCTCTTCTCGGTCCAATCACAGGACGGCCCCTGTGACTGTGACTGGCTGTTCCAGGGCTCACATCTGCCACCTGCTGTCCTTCCCACCCCAATGTGGTGACTGTTCTTGGAGAACAGCAGTCCTTTCCTGTCCTCCCCAGGAACCAGAAGCAAAGCACCATGCTAGACCACTGGATCAGACATGTACTCACGTTGGCCTTCTGCTTCTCAGCCTGTAACTGGGCATCGATCTCCTCAGGGCTTGTATACTGCCTCACCCGGCCTTTGTGGCCTCCCTTTCTACCTGCACAAAGATCAGAAGTTCAGGAAGGTGAGAGAGAAGGCTGCCGCCTTTGCACTGACCCCGGACGGCTGTCCTTTTTGGGGCAAAGGGACCTCACCTACCCCCATCAAGTACCACCCAAACCTACAATGTTCCCAAAGAACAAAAGCAGCAGCTTATTCCATCTGATGTACAACTGTCAGATGTAGGTTCCTAACAAGACCTGAGGTGAGGAAAGGAAGATGGAGTCTGACTGAATCCTGTTTTCTTAAAATGCAAATATGGCTGGGCGTAGTGGTCCACATCTTTAGTCCTAGCACTCCAGACAGCGGGGACAGGCAAGATATAGACCTCTTGAGTTCTAGGCCAGCCCAGTCTACATATGGAGTTGCAGGCCGGCCAGGGAACCTAGTGAGACCTTGTTACAAAGTCCAAACAGTGTTCTCAGGTGCAAGCAAGGAAGCAGGAAACATGTATGCCTTTTCTGGCACTACAAAGCTTTTGACTTTAATACTCTGTCACAAGCTCATCTGATCCTTAGAAAGAAGGTACAGCACAAAAGCCACTGCTGGTTTTCTACCACAGGGAAGGAGACTCTGTCAAGTAAAGTGCAAAAGAAGAAGAATTCTGAAGCCTAAAGCTCTGGGTTTACCACTCCCTTGATCTGTGGCTCTCTGGGCAGTCCTATACTTTGCCAGAGCCTCAGTCTCTTTTCTTCCCATAAGGCTGCCATGGAAATAAACTGGTTACCATTTGAAAAGCAGCTGGAACCAGGCATGGTGGCACACGCCTTTAATTTCTACACTCAGGAGGCAGATGCAGGCAGATCTCTGTGAGTTTAAGGCCAGCCTTGTCTACAGAGGGAGTACAAGGCCAGCCACGGCTGTTACAAAGCAAAATCCTGTCTCAAAAAAATAAAAACAAAACAAAACAACAACAACAAAAAAAGAAAGCAGCTGGAATTGTGTGTGGCATTGGATAAGCAACACAAAATATCTGCTAATCTGTTCTAATATATTGCTTGGTAGAAAAACATATGCTACCAATGGCCCCATAAATGAACTACCACCAATGGCGGCAGAAAGAATAAAATACTCCATCTTGACTATATGAAGAGAATACTTACAGGATAAAAGCCCAAAATCTACCAGCAGAAATTCTGTGTTCGGAATTAAACTAGCAAATGGGGCTGGAGAGATGGCTCAGCAGTTAGGAGCACTTGTTGCTTTCAGACAGCCCTGGCTGGTTCCTAGCACCCACAAGGCAGCTCAAAAACCATCTGTAGGCTGGGTGGTGGTGGCACAAACCTTTAATCCCAACACTCAGGAGGCAGAGCCAGGCAGATCTCTGAGTTCGAGGCCAGCCAGGTCTACAGAGCGAGATCCAGGACAGGCACCAAAACAACACAGAGAAACCCTGTCTCGAAAAATCAAAACAAACCAAAACATCTGTAACTCCAGTTCCAGGGTGATTCGATGTTCTCTCTTGACCTCTCTGGGCACTGCACTCACATACATGGAGGCAAAAAACCCTCACTCACATAAAAAAAATTAAACTGGCAAAATTAAAGTTGAATACAGATCTAACAGCAGTCTAACACTGACCAGGACTATCAGTGACAATTCACCTAAGAGGATAAGTGCCATACCCTGATGCTCTAGCCAGAACACTAGACCAATTCCTGCTAAAGCCTGTCTTATAGCTGGGCAGCAACTCCTCTGCATCCTTGCAGCCTATACTGCCAGGCAGGACCTCTCTCGATTTCTGAACGCCCCTTGCTGTGAGTAGAGAATCTGTAATTAGACAGCCAGAACTGCTCCAAGCTCTGGAGAACACTGCAGAGACACTGATTTCCTAGATAGCAGCTGCAGAGCTGTAACTGGGCTGCCAGAGCCCACACCACCCATTTTTAATGACTACCTGAGTTCCCAGGTGTATCTAGGTATGCTCATGAAAGGCCTATTGTGAGATACCAAGCTTGTCATTAAACAAACAAACAAACAAAAACAAAACAACCCCCCGAAAAACAACACCCTTTCTTGCATATTCCAGGTAACAACTCAAAACTGGTCATTACAGGCCCTCATTCCCTACACTTGTCTACGGAATACTGACCTTAGCTTGGTTTACAGCGGCTCTTTCAAGACTCTAAAAATAATTCACAGTATGATGAAAACAGAATTGGTCCTTTGCTCTTGGGATTTTTTTTTTTTTTTTTTTTTTTTTCGAGACAGGGTTTCTCTGTGTAGCTTTGCGCCTTTCCTGGGACTCACTTGGTAGCCCAGGCTGGCCTCGAACTCACAGAGATCCGCCTGCCTCTGCCTCCCAAGTGCTGGGATTAAAGGCGTGCACCACCACTGCCCGGCTGGGAATTTTTTATTGTTTTATCAAGCAAAGAAACAAGGCTTGTCTGCTTGCAAAGATTTTCACAAATCAAAAGACTAAGTCTATTAGCCAGGATTCCATATTTAAGACTGAGGGACTGTAATTGCCAACCTTGGAGTCAAAATTCTGGAGCTGGAAAAGTTCCTTTGCGTCTTACAGATGAGACCGAGGAAGAAAAGAGTCTTCCAGACTCAGAATAAATCAGCAGAGAAGTAGGTTTAGCCGCACTTGGCTCTGTAAAGCCTAATATCTGAATATTGACAGGAAGCAATTTAGGCTTGAAAAAGCTCCAGGCAGATGTTCCTGTAGGCTGATTGCATTAACTGGCTTAACACGTGAGCTACCAACATTAACTGAACATCTGTTCTGTGCCAGAAGCGAGTCAGGACCTTAGTGCGATCTATTCTATCATCGTATAACTCCTGTCTCCAACTCATCCAGCTAAGCCTTATTCATTACCCCTGTAGTTCAGATGAAGATGAGCTAGATGAGGTTAAAATCTTGTTTGAGGCCACAAAATTAAGACGTGATATATCTGGTATTCAAATCCCCGATTCTAAAAGGGAATGAGAACGTTAAGATGGGAAACGCGGTCTTCTTGGTCCCTACACACAGTAACAGTGCTTGCCTGGGCATTTAGGGGATACCGGGCACTGGACTGAGTACTTGGGTCCCCTAGTTTAAGCCTCAAAACAGAACAAGAGGTAGAGATAGCATCTATGCCTCCCCACTTGGGAACGACAAAACCGAGACACAAAGAAGTTAGGCGACCGGCCCAGAGACCCATCCATCCTTAATGGCTACCGCGCGAGGGAGAGAGCAAGGTGGTCCGGGATCCAGATCATCAAGTCAGGCTCTTATTATGAGGCAGGCGTGGCCGAGTTGGAGCCCGACAGAACCCACATTTTATGCTCGCGGCAGACAGGCTCCGCGCTAGCGCGGGACGCGGTGACTCAGTCTCCGGCCAGCCAAGTGGGAGGCTAACTTCAGACGCTCCCCAGGCTCGAAGGAGCGACTCCCGGGTCCCGCTTTCCTCGGGGGGCGAGGACCCAGGGCCGGCGGATCTCCTTCAAATCCCCGATGGAGAGGCTCTCGACCACGGCGAGCCTCAGTTTCCCAGCCAGGACAATTGAGCGTCGAGGCCCACGCTCGGCTGGGAGGCGGCGGGGATGGCCTCCTTCGGCGCGGATCTCCTCCTAGGAGCCCGCGGGCTGAGGGGACAGCGGCCGCCCACCCACGGCCGCCCCTAGCGAAGCCACGCGAACCACGCGCGCCCACCCCCTCACCTCCTTTAGGCATCTCGGCTTCGGCGGCTGCAGCGGCGGCGGCGCCTCGAACTGACACCGGAACCGGAAATGCCTTGGGATCGACTTCTTCCGCCCGGCCCAGTCCCTCTCCGCGTGCCGCCGCCGCCGCCGCCGCCGCTGCCGCCGCCGCGAGGAACGGGGACCTCACCGAAGCCGGGCTGTCTTGCGAGTTGCCTGAATTCCTGGCCCGACCGCGTGCTGCCAGGCAACCGCACTCCCCGGTATCCTGGTCCGGGGAGACGCGTAGCTGTGTCGGCCACCCCAACAGGAAGTGAGAGGAAAAAGGCCGTAGGGTTTCCGGAATTCTACAAAGGCAGCGCCCGGGCACCTAAGGTGACGCAATCCCCGCGCGAGGTGGGCGGGGCCCCGCGAGGGCCTTATTCTGAGGAGTTTCTCACCGGGGCGGAAGCCGTCAATAAAGAAGCGGCGGCTGTAGGTGTTTGTTCTTCCGGTGAGTGTTTCTTTCCTCTGTTCTCGAGTACTGTGTCTTAGGCAACGGTTGCGGCCAAGAAGGCGATCTGAGCGGCAGAGGCTGGAGTCCCCGATGACTTGGTGCCTTTATCGTTCTGCACAGGGATGATAGATTTGGGGCTCCTTCTCGGCCTCCCCTTTCCTCCCCCCCCCCATCACGTTTTCTCTTCCGGGACCGTTTTCTAAGTACTGCTTGTTTCTCAGATGCTGGTCTCTGAGTTTTCCCCACTATCCGGTCTGTAACTTCCCTCTCGTTCACCTCTTTGCCCGAACTCCTTTAGTTTGTAGACCGACCAACACCTCTTTCCTCCTGATACATTCACCTCCTCGTTTTACCGCTCTCCTGACCCGAGAATCTTCCGGGCTGAATTCTCCGGGGTCAGGAGAAAGTGATTCTCTAAGTCAGGCCGGGAAGAGATCGGACTCCATCCACCTCTTAACTTTAGTGCTGGGAAAACCGGTGCAAACACCACGGGTGGGGAAGTCTGGAGCCTCTAGTCAGTCAGACTGCCAATTCTCAGCTACGTGACCCTGAGTCCACCTCTTAGTGTTTGATTCATTTGTAAGACTGTTAAGGAGAGGTGTGTGTGAGGGGATTGTAAAATATCAGTGGGACTGAATACATTTGGAAGAGATGAGTGGGTTATGCTTACAGGTAATACATGGCCAGGTTTCTCTTTGCCAGCTAGAAAGCATAATGCAATTTGAAAAGATGCTTTTTTGTCTTTTAGGTGATTAAAGGCGTGGTTGTGTACACCTTTAGTCCCAAAAGGCAGAGGCAGTCGGATCTCTGTAAGTTCGAGGGGGCCATGGTCTAGAGTGAGTTCCAGGAGAGCCAGGGTTACACAGTGAAACTCTATCTTGAAAAACAAGAAAGAGAGAGAGAGAGAGAGAGAGAGAGAGAGAGAAAGAAGAAAGGAAGAAGGAAGGAAGGAAGGAAGGAAGGAAGGAAGGAAGGAAGGAAGGAAAGAAAGAAAGAAAGAAAGAAAGAAAGAAAGAAAGAAAGAAAGAAAAGATACTTTTCTATTGTTATGTGTTGCTTTGGCCTTTGTTTATTGTGTGTAATATATTGCTCTCATTTTACAGATGAGACAGAGGTCCAAAGAAGAAAAGTGATCTCTCCAAAGTCACAGAATAATTGGTAAATCTGGACAAGAACACAAGCTTGTAACTGCAGAGACCAGGGATTTTTATATATTCTCATAGGAAACAGATAGAAGGTATTGTGCTTTTTATACTCAAGTTTTTCCCCTTGAAACTGTCATCCCTGGGATTCTTCACTTAAAGGTTTACATTGTAATTGGCTTTTAATCAGTTCTTCACGATGACCCCATAAGGTAGATTTTTTGTTTTTGTTTTTGTTTTTTTGGAGAGGGTTCATGTAGTCTAGATTGGCCTCAAACTCACCAGATATCCAAAGATGGCCTTGATCTCCTGATCCTTTTGCCTCCACCCTTCCCGTCTAGGGAGGCTAAGTAGCTGTTTGGGGCCTTCTGGATAATGACCTACAGTCATTATCCTACCTATGCCAGCTGGAGTGCCCAGTAGAGCTTGGCTACAGTGTCCACTCAGATGAGACTTGTGAGCAAAAAAACAAATTTCAGTAAGTAGAGATTGATGTCATCAGATCTGCTGCTCACAACAGCCAACAGAAACTGACTGGGGAAATTGAAGCACTCACCTGGAGTTCTGATGGCTGAAGTTCCAGGTTCTCTTTGCTACTGTAGACATTTTTATATTGTGAGATAAACAATAGTAACTGTTGGAAATAGATTACCTTCCAGCAGCTCTCAAGGCCATGGTGTGTTCACCTTTGGTCTGCTTTGCTGTTTTCATTCCTCCCTATTGTAGAGTTAGGATGTGTGTGTGTGTGTGTGTGTGTGTGTGTGTGTGTGTGTGTGTGTGTGTGTGTATGTGTGCGCGCGCGCGCCCATTCTTAGATAAATGACTGGGGAGGATACTGAGACATACGTGCTTGGCTCTGAAATAGGGGGTGGTGTGGCTTTCCCAGAGCCAACTCAGAAAACATAGGACTTACTGACATACATTACACTTTCTGAGCTTGACAGCCTTGAGGAGCAGAGCTGCAGTGTGGCTCAGGCAGTCTGGATAGGAGTCCCTTCATGGAGCTCTTGCTGCTTTGAGTAGATGAATGTGCACCAGTAATGGCTGCCAAAGGCCTTTGGCAATCTGAGACTCAGAAATGACTTGACTTTCTCCTAGGTCTTTATAAGCTATCTTGCTGGGAAATGCCCAAAGTCAAAAGAAGCCGGAAAGCTCCTCCAGATGGCTGGGAGTTGATTGAACCAACACTGGATGAATTAGATCAAAAGATGAGAGAAGGTGAGTGGTGGTGCTCCTGCCTGGATAGGCTGGATGAGGTGTCAAGGCTCAGGTGCCTCCAAGGATAGACAAACATCTATGAGAAGAGGCTTGTTGCAAACTGGTCAAGTTTTGTTTACTTAGAATGCTTGAAAATTCTGAAATGTAAGATAACATTAATGAAAACATCGCCCCCCTCCAAAACAGAAAAAAGGTGTTTTATTTATGTATGTATATGTATGTAGAATATGTATTTGTGAAAGAAAGATCAGGTGTCTTTTTCACTTTTAATGTTTTGTTGGAGACAGGGTCTATGTAAATTCTTTTTCATAATTTTTGAGGTAGGGTCTCTACATAGCTCTAGCTGTCCTGGACCTGTGTAGATCAGGCTGGCTTCGAACTCATGGAGAGCTGCCTGTCTGTGCCTCCCTAGCACAGATATAAAAGGTGGACCACCACAAACCCCAGCTTACTCTATGTGTTTTGTTTTGTTTTTATTTTATATTGGGGGAGGGTTATATGCATGGGCATACAGGTACCTGGGGAAGCCAGAAGAGGGTGTCAGATCCCCTAAAGCTGGAGTTACAGGCAGTGGTGAGCCACCATGACACGCATGGGTGCTGGGAACAGCCCCATTATGAAGCATTTTTATTCATGCTTTTTTTTTTAAACTCTGTAGCTTTGAATGGCTTGGAGCCCTGCTACATATTCACATTCTTTTTATGGGTCTTTGAAAATCTTCTTTATACCTTGGTCTTTGCACCATGTATCAGTTTCTACAACACAGCGCCATAGTAGTCTTGCATTTTGGGAATCCTGGCAGTCAGCTTGTCTCTGGAAATGTGATCTGAAGCCTCAAGCATATGGTATAGCCTTTGGGGAGCATAGTATGTCCTGGTTTGATTGCTCTTACTGTGGTAAAACACCCTGACCAAAAGCAACATAGGGAAGGAAGGGTTTTATTTGGCTTAGAATTCCAGGTTACAGTCTGTCCTTGAGGGCATGCTATGGCAGAAACTAAAGCACACACATCCACAGTCAAAAGCAGAGGACAGGGCTGGAGAAATGGCTCAGTGATCTGCTTTTCCTGAGGACCCAGGTTCATTTCTTAACACCCACATATCTGCTCACAACTGTAACTACAGTTCCGGGGGTCCAACACCTTCTGACATCCATGGGCATCAGCTACACATACAGTGCACATACATATATGCAGGAAAAACACTCATACATAAACTAAATCGAAGAAACTTTTTTTTTTTTTGTTTTTTTTTTTTTTTTTTTTTTTTTTTTTTGTTTTTTTCGAGACAGGGTTTCTCTGTGTAGCTTTGCGCCTTTCCTGGAACTCACTTGGTAGCCCAGGCTGGCCTCGAACTCACAGAGATCCGCCTGGCTCTGCCTCCCGAGTGCTGGGATTAAAGGCGTGCGCCACCACCGCCCGGCCATTTTTTTTTTGTTTTTTTTTTTTTTTTTTGGAAACTTTTTAAAAAAATGATAAATGCACACATGCTGTTTGCTCAATACAGAAGTTCAACTAGCTTTCTCAGGCCACATACACACACTCAGTTAGGCCAGCTTGATCTAGCTCATTGCTCCAATGAGGCCCCCTTAGGTGAGTCTAAGTCCTGGCAAGATGATAATTAAAAAATATCTTGTAGTATAACTACTTGTGTGTGTGTGTGTGTGTGTGTGTGTGTGTGGTAGGGGTGTAGTGTGAGAGTGGTGTATGCACAAATATGTACTACAAAGCACAGGTACAGGTAGAGGACAACTTACTGGAGTCAGTTCTCTCCACCATGAAGGTTCTAGGGATCAGACTCTTACTGGTTTTGGAAGCAAGCATCCATATCTACTGAGCTGTCCCATCGGCCCCCTGAATTGCTACTTTTTTAAAATTTATTTTTATATATGAATTTTTTGCTTCATGTGTACTGTGTTTGTGCCTGGTGTTTGCAAAGGCCAAAAGAGGGATGTTGGATCCCTGGAACTGAAGTTACAGTTATGATATGAGCTGTGACCTAGGTGCTGGGAATAGAACCTGGGTTCTCTGCAAAAGCAGCTAGTACTCTTAACCACTGAGCCATCTCTCCAGCTTCCCTTAAATTGCTATTTAAAACAGTTTTTGAAATACCTGTTTACAGCTAATCTGATCATTGTTATTATGAGGTCAGATCTGCAGCAAAAACCACTAAGTCACTGTTAACTTTGCTTTCTCTTTTCATAACTGGTTGTGCCAGTGTCTGTTAGATACCCAGAACTTGCAGTAGTCAAGGTTGCTATGTGTCAAGAGATTTCTTGACACAGCTCTGTGAAAGTAAAGGAAATTAGAGTGTGGATGAAAAGAGTCTACAGCTCTCTGATGTGTTCCTAAACTCATGGTAACTCTATTTAACTTCTTGGGGAATTGCTAGACATTTTCTACACCATTTTGCATTCTGCTAAAAGGGCTTAGGATTCCAGTTTCTTGTCCACTCTCGTAATTGTCCATTGTTTTCATTACTATCCCCATGGGCAAAAAATAGTCATAGCTGTAGTTAAGGAAGCAAACATGCAACATGCTATGCAGACTGACTCTCTCTTAAAACGTACATTCTTTTTTCTCTCCAGCTGAAACTGAACCCCATGAGGGAAAGAGGAAAGTGGAATCCTTGTGGCCCATCTTCAGAATCCATCACCAGAAAACCCGATATATCTTTGACCTCTTTTACAAGAGGAAAGCCATAAGCAGAGGTAACTGGCTAAATACCTTGACCTTTAAAAAGCATTGTTACTATGTTCACATACATGTAGAGGCAAGTGCCTCCCAAGGCTTCCATGTGGAGGATATGGGACAGCCTATAGGAGTTGGTTCTCCTTTTGCCATGAGGATCTGGGGGATCGAATTTGGGTTATTAGGCCTGTATGAAAAGCATTCTTGGCCCCTGAGCCATCTTGCTGACCCTCTTGACCTTTTTGTACTTGAGTGGTTTTCAGAATTTATATAGTGGTTCATAAAAAGCTGGGTGTCACCAGGCCTGGTAGCACATGTCTTTAATCCCAGCACTTGGGAGGCAGAGGCAGGTGGTTGTCAGAATTCAAGCCCAGCCTGGTCTACAGAACAAGTTCCAGAACATTCAGGGAAGTTAAACTGAGAAACCCTGGGGGGAGAGGGAAGCTTAAGGAAAAAGCTGGGTGTTATGGTTCAGACCTATAGTTTCAGCACTTGGGAAGTAGAGGCAGGAAAACTTGAGAATTCCAGGCAAGCCTTAACTGAGATCCTGACTCCAAAAAACAATGATTGTCTTTGCATACCCAGTAAACATCAGTTTTCTTACCACTGATGAATAAATTAGTTTTTGTTTTTGTTTTCTTTTGTTTTCCTCTCCTCAGAAACAAGGTTACACTAATGTAGCCCTGGCTGGCCTGGAACTTACATAGACTGGTCTCAAACTAACAATGCTTTACCTGCCCCTGCCTGATTTGGTTTGTTTGTCTTTCGTTTTTTTTTCTTTTTTTGTTGAGACAGGGTCTGTGTAGTTATAATTCTCCTGGAACTGGATTTGTAGACCAGGCTGACCTCAAACTCAGAAAAATCTTTCTGTCTCTGCCTCCCAAGTGCTAGGATCAAAGGCTTGTGCCACCATACCCAGCTTAATTTTCCTTTTTAGTCCAGGGTGAAGGCAGGTTTGTTGTGCCATGTTCTGATGCCTTGTCCCCACCTTTCTGATAGAACTCTACGAATACTGCATTAAAGAAGGCTATGCAGACAAAAACCTGATTGCAAAGTGGAAAAAGCAGGGCTACGAGAATCTGTGCTGCCTACGCTGCATTCAGACTCGAGACACCAACTTCGGGACGAACTGCATTTGCCGGGTTCCTAAAAGCAAGCTGGAAGTGGTAATGCCTGATGGCTAGATGGGGAATTATTTTCTGTTTAAAGCTCTGCCTAGGTTGACCATAGGGGTATTTTGGGAAGTAGTTTTGTCATTGGAAGCCTGCTAGCCATCCTTCCCAAGAATGAGTCCCTTCTGATCAGGGATCCTTGGGTGGAATCTGTTAGTCGGTCTTTCTGAGATGTAGGGCTGGTCTCAGTACTACCTGTGGGCAAATAACAGAACTCTTTTCTTAGGGAGTAGTAATGGCAATAGCTGAGAGGGCTACACTGGGGTGGCCACTAGACAACCTGTCCCTTTCTCTCTAGTCTCATGGTGACATTAATCTCTGCATGTCTTCTGTCTGAACCTTGTTCCAAAGCCAGGAGTGGTGGCTCCTGCCTTTAATCTCAACACTTGGGACACCAGCCTGGGCTAGTACTGAGATTATGTTTCAATAATAATCATAATCAATAATGGTTTCAGGCACCTGGCAATGGTGTGGTGTATAGTGGCTGAGCTCTAGTCTCCAGACCCTTGAAATGGAATCCCAGGACATCAGGCCATATAGGCCATCCACTCAGCTTGACCTTTGTTTTCTCTCATTACATTGAAACAGGACTCAATTCCCAGTTTTCATTCAGTGCAGATGGCCTCAGCTCAGCAGACAGCTCTGTTCTCTGTGCCAGGGGTGGGGCTCTGGTGTGGATGTGCCAATCCATGGCTAGTGATGGATGGCTACTTCCCAAGAGGAGGCTCTTGGTGTCTCAGCCTTTGGCTTAAGCTGATCTTCAGAGCTGGAGTTTGTTCAGTTGGTAGAGGGCTGCCTAGTATGCATGGAGCCCTAGTTCCATCTCCAGTGCCCCATAGAACCAGATGTGGCAGTACACATCTGTAGACTAGCACCAGAAATTTAGGGTCATCCTTTATGAGAACCTGTCTCAAAGATTTAGCAGAGCCTCGCCAGAGAACTTTATTTGCTTAAAATGTGCTCTTGGTCTGTAGAAGAGAAGGTAAAGACAGCATTGCTCCAGTCCCCCAGCCAGCCACGATGCCCTTGTGACAAGATTCTTCTGGCCACGGGAACTTAAGTGTGCACCTTTTGCCCCATGGCCTCAAGAACTCTGGCCTCAGCCCCCTAGGCAGGAGCAATCCCACCAGGAAAAAAAAAGGCTGCCTTATTGTCAGGTGGTCACACACCTTTAATCCCAGCACTAGGGAGGACAGAGGCAGCTGGATCTCGGAGTTCAAGGCCAGCCTGGTCTACAGAACAGAGTGAATTCTAGGACAGCCAGGACTATTATACAGAGAAACCTTGTCTCAAAAACAAAAGGCTGGCTTACAGAGGATTTCTTTGTGGCACGTCTTTAATCAGTCAAACACAGACATAAAACTTTGGGCTAGTAGTAGCTGTTTCCATTTTCACAAAGCTGAAATACCCAAATGGAACTGTCTAGTAGAGATGTCCTTCAGGGAGTGTTCCACCAGCAGCCTGTACAGCAGGTTCCTATAGGTATGTGCAGGCCTGTAGCAGTATATACAAATGTCTCCTTCCTCTGTTACAGGGTCGCATCATTGAGTGCACGCACTGTGGCTGCCGAGGCTGCTCTGGCTGACACCCTTGATCCCTCTACATTCTGGACTTTGGGCCTTGTTGGCTCCTGCTTATTGGGCCACCCCGCTCCTGGAGCAGCTCTTCTCAGAGTGGTGCCCAGAGAAGAGACCCAGAGGGAGCATGGGCTCTACAGGTGAAGGCTTCAGTGTTTAGTAGCTGAAATCTGTAAAAATAAAACCTTTAGACCTCTTGGCTGTAGTCATTCTTTTAGAGCAGTGGGCTGTGGAATGCAGGGGATGGGCTCAGTCCTGGCTCAGTGTCATAGGCACTGTGTGACCAGGAGCATAACCTTTCTCAACAGTGATAGGGAGGGTACCCTGGGCCCAGCATTTGTCCTCACGCCTATGCCTATAAAATGCTTCAGTACCTCTAGAAAGGTGACACCAGCATATTCTCTTGGGTTCCATCAGCACTGTGAAAGCTGGGTACTTGTCATAGCAGCATGCTCCATCACCTGTCCCTAAGGCCTCCACTGACACCAGCATTCCCAGTGGTGTCTTGGTTCTCCTTAGGCTTGGTCTGGAACTCCTGCCAGGGGTGGGGGGCTTCCTCTGCTGGCATCACTTTCAGCCACTGCTTGTAATATGCTCGAAAACCATCGATCTTCTCCAAGTAGGTGTTTTTCCCTTTGTACTGTAATTCGAAATGAACAGGACTGTGTCAAGGTGAGTGACATACATGGACAAAAGCTTCACTATGAAACCCATCACTGTACAATGGATACAGAATACACTAAGAAAAGCAGGGAGTTCAGAAATGTTCTCAGCCAGTCCAAACCACTGCATGTCACCCAAAGCTAATAACCACCCACAGCAGCTTACCCCTGCTCGTCTTTCCTCAAGGAGAGTACAGTGACAAGGTAGAAAAATGGACATTAGATTCACTGCTGTGAAGTTCCAGATAAATCTGCTGTATTTGGGTTAGGACAGACTGCCCGTTGCCTAACAGCCGTCTAGTCTAAGGGCACTGTAGTGCTCCTAAACCTGTGGAGGTCATCTCAGCCCACAGCTAGAATTGAGGCATCCCATCAACTCTGCCTGTTTGGCTGAGCTGTTGCCCTCTCTGACCTATCACCTTGGACCCATGCAGCATCTCCTTGCAGGGAGGAGAGGTATGGAGAGTTTAAAACAGCTGGTGAGGGGCTACATAGGAAAAATAAGCCAAACCAAAAAAGGAACAAGAAGGACAAACAAACAAAACCCCACAATACTAAAAGTTTGAATTTAAGATTTTTAAGTTCAAGCTGGGCCTATGTAGAGTTACACGCCTTTAATCCCAGCACTTGGGAGGCAGAGGCAGGCCGATCAGTTTTGTCTACAAAGCATGTTCCAGGACATCCAAGCCTACACAGAGAAACCCTGTCTCTGAATAATAAAAGGACTAAGTGCGCTGAGGAAATGGCTCAGTTGTCAAGTGCTTGCTCTGCAAGCAAGCTGAAAAATGCACTCTTGCACCCATGCCTCATGCTGTAATCCCTGTGCTAGGGAGGTGAGACAGGAGACAAGACAGCAAGACTAGTCGAACTGATGAGCTCTAGTTCAGTGAGATCCTGTCTAAGAAAGTCTGCGAGTGGCAGAAGGCGTTAGGTGGTCTCAGGCCTTCAGTTGCACCCAGGGCCCCTCTCTAGGCACTAAGCAGTAAGATCACAGATGTTCAGATAGGCCCCTCAACCCACCCACTCTTACTCAGCCTTCACTTAAGTGCTACACATGGGAGCCATCCCTGAGCACTGCCTCAAGTGTGCTCTCACCCATTCACTGTCTCCCTCCCTACCTGGTTCGTGTCCTTCTAGGCCACAGTTGCCATTCAGTGCTCTAGAAAGAGCACAGGGCGACTCAACAGAGCCCCATACTAAAGTACAGAGCCTGATGTCCTTGAAGGGGGACATGTGCAGTAGCCTTTATCAAATTGTATCACCACCGGTGGGTGCATCTGCCCATCCACTGAACAGTAAGTACTGAGCACCAAACAACACACAAGCACTGGGGAACCAGGTGGGCAAGGCACAGTCTCCACCTCTCTAAGCCTAGGTGGTTCAGTGAAGACAAGAACCTTGTGTGAACATAGTAAACCATGGCATCACAAGACTATGTGGGGAAGGGAGGCATATCTGAGAGGGGGTACTTAAGCTGGACATGATGCTGCACACACTTGCAAGATGGAGACTGAAGAATCAGTAGTTCATGGCTAGCCTGAGTTACCTGAGACTGCCTCAAAATAAAAAGTGGGCTGGAGAGATAGCTTAGTGGTTAAGAGCACATACTGTTCTTCCAGGGGACCTGACTTCAGTTCCCAGCTGGATATCCACACTAGGCAGCTCACACCACCTGTCAGCTCCGGGGGATTCAATGTGGCTCAGGGCCTTGGGTTTTCTCTTAAAGCTGCTGAACAACTTTCAGCAAGGAAATGAATGTCAAGCCCCATAGGCCAAAACCAGAGATGGCAGCAGCTAAGGCAATGGTGGGCACTGTAGAATTGGCGCACATACCCGGTCAAAGGTGGGAGGGTACTCGGCAGCAAACTCGAGCTGGCGGATGACTACTTCGTTCACTGGGACACTGTTCCGCCTCATGTCCTTCAGGATATCAATGAGATAGGCATAGTCCAGCTTCTTGAGGGCCACGTTGATGAGAGTACTGTAGATGTGGGTGTTAGGGGTCATCTGGGATTTCTAGAACATGTACATCACATGGTCAGCAGGATGATGGTGGCTGGTAGGACAAAGCAGCCCACTGTGCCAGGTCCATAGACTGGTCTGTTCCACAGACTAGGAACCAGGAACAAGAAGGGTGGGACCACACAGCAACTGGCTGTCTGGTACCGTACAAAAGCTTGCATGCCCTATCACAACAGCCCTGAAGAATTGGGGAGAAAGATTGCTACTTGGGGGTCAACAGACAGGCAGAAAATGTGTGAAATACCTCCTCACTCTTGGCCGCAGTTTATTGGTTGACAGTGTCATCACCACAAGGTGGGGGTCAGTCTATAACAGCTAGCATTAGTGCAGTGGTAGAATGTGTGGACACAACTGGGTCCTTGGAAGTGGCCACTCCTGGGGTTGGTTGGAATCAACTCAGCAAGCTCTCATGAGAGGGCCAGAGAGAATGAGCATGAGAGCAAGCCAGGGCCGAAAACTATGCTGTGCCCGCAGACCTAGCTCATCTCTCCTCTGGATATAGCTCCCATCCCTCCAGGATGTTGGGGTTCAGCCCCATTCACATCTCTCCATGGGAACCAACAGCACCTTCAAGATGGCTGGCAAACCTGCTTGTCCCCAGAGGGGGCATGCACACTAGAAGGGATGCTGTCCCACTTGCCCTGCTCCACACTCATTTGATACCGCTGGGTCCCATTTTCCCCACAACTTTCTTGCTGAGAACTCCCAGAGTTCCCCCAGAACTGTAGGCATCCTGCTGGGGTCTCTCACCTTCATGTCTGCAAGCAGCTGCATACCATCCTTAGGCCTACGGCACCCAATGGCCAGGCTGCAAAAAGTTCGAAGATTGGGGACAATTCCCTTCTTTGCCAGGACTGGCAACAGCGCCTGTAGGACAGACATGCAGCTGTTACCTGAGACCCGTAAGTCCTGGCCAGATGTGCTGATGAATCCCTTTTGTGGATGCTAAAGACTGAAGGACATAACTGCTCAGAAGCCTCTTGACTCCCTCAGCTGACTGTATGGTATTCCTGGTCTCCACTCAGCACTCAAGATTCCATGCCCTTTGCCCTTCATGTCTCTGACCTTCCTATCCTGTGTCAAGCTCCTTGGCTGCCCATCCCTGTACTGGGCCAAGGAGCCAGAAGCTCCTGATGCGAGCAGGAAGCAGCGCTGACCAGTATGGCAAGTGCTGGCTGAGGGAGGTGTAAGAAAGAGGGCGTCTTTCAGCCTAGGTAGGGCCTCAGAGAGGGACTGTCTTCTTAGGTTGTCTCAAGGAAGGCGTGCTCTGCACTGTGACCATCACCTATCACCTTTGACCCTCGCAGATGCCCAGGGAACTGCTTCTGTCAAAGCACATCACATAAAAACTGTGTAAGTGAGAAAACCCAGCCTGGAGCCTAGCTATCATCTCCGTGATATGGGGAAAGCTGCACATAACCAGGCTGTGCCTCCTGGCCTGCCCTGGAGAGAAGCAGATAGACCTGAAGCTGATAACACAGAGTAAGTGCAGCGTTGGGAACATAGATGAGGAGATGGGAATACTCTGGTTTGTACTGGGGTGCCTCATGGTGAGTCTTTCCTTTTGGGGAGATGCTGAGCCGGGGTCTCAATAGACAGCCTTGGCTAGTCTGGAGTTCACTACGTAAATTGGACTAAAACTTGGGAGATCTGCCTATCTCTACCTCCCAAGTGTACCACCATATCCAGCCCTTCTCAGATCTCTCTCTCTCTCTCCCTTTTAAAAAAAAGGAAAAGGTCTCGCCAGGCAGTGACGGTGCACGCCTTTAATGCCAGCACTCGAGAGGCTGAGGCAGGCAGATCTCTGTGAGTTTGAGGCCAGCCTGGTCTACAGAGCTAGTTCCAGGGCAGCCAGGGCTGTGTTATACAGAGAAACCCTATCTGGAAAAACCAAAAAGAAAAAAAAGAAAAAAAAAAAAGAAAAGAAAAGCCCTCAAGGACTCCAGGCCAGCAATGAACTCTCAATTTGGCTTTGCTAGATTGTTTTATGTCAACTTGACATAAACTAGAGATATCTGAAAGGAAGGATTCTCAGTTGAGAAAACGCCTAAATAAAATGGGGCTGTAGGACATTCTCTTAATTAGCAATTGATGGGGGAAGGCCCAGCCCATGGTGGATGGTGCCATCCCTGGGCTGGTGGTCTTGGGTTCTACAAGAAAGGAGGCTGAGCAAGCCGTGGTGCAAAAGCCAGTAAGCAGCACCCCTCCATGGCTCCTGCATCAGCTCCTGCCTCCAGGTTCCCATCAGAGTTCCTGTCCTGACTTGCTTCAGTGATAAGACTAGGAATGTGGAAGCATGAGCCAAACAAAACCCCCTCACATTGCTTTGGGTCATGGTGTTTCATCTTTATAATAGTAACCCAAACGAAGACAGTGGCCAAGGGTGACCTTAAATTCTTGACCCACCATCCTTCCCTCCCCAACTCCTGTGACTATAGGTGTACAGCAGTTACGCAGTGCTGGGAATGGGTCCCAGAATCATATGTATGCTAGGCAAGCACTCTACCAGCTGA